ATATTGAAGAACATCGCAGACAAGATCAACATTCAAATTTACCTGAGATGACTTTTTTGACTTACTAAGAAGATCTAAATATCTGTGGTAATCTGTATGTTGCAAAAATCTGAAATGCTAGAGAGCTCTAAAAATGATGATGCAATTAGTAATAAAAATAATAATGAAAATATTAAAAATGCTGAAAATACTGACAATGAAAGTAATAATGATAATAGCTCTTCACTTATTTCATCTAAAGAAGGTTTTAATTATATAGGGCATATTCTTGGAATTGATACTTCAACAGAAATGTCACCATCTAAAATGCTTGAATCTACATCAATTCAATCTGAATCTAATGTAATTGATATTAACATTCTTAATGCCACTGCTATTTACCAACAAGAATTCAAAGAATTCTTGAAATCTACCTTGAGAGGTCTTTAAATATTGCAGAAAAATTTGATATTTCTTCAGGACCTAATTAAATCTGATCAAACCTTAACACAAAAATATTTTAATAGTGATCCACATGTTTTGCTGAATCACCTTTATGATATTGTTACCTCAGATTCATTTAAAGCTGCAAGAAATCTGGTTGATATTATATATGAAGAAATAAATCTTCATAGGCATGTAACTTTTAGTCCGTATATTATTTTACTTGAAAAAGAAAAAAAACAGCATCAAAAACCATCCTACAAAAGTTAAAGAAATAAGTTTTCTATAGCTTCTATATATAGAATCTCTTCTCTTTTCAAGCATTGTATATTCAATAATACATCTAGATTATATTAATAATATATGGTTAATATGTATGTAACAGTATATAGAAAAATTCTTTAATTTGAAGTTTTTCTATAACTTATGCTTGATCTGTATTCAATACATTTCATCGTACTTACTTGCAATAATATAGCATTTCTAAATTTTAGCTTTGCAATATCAACTTTGAGCTTTTACGAATCTTTAATAGCAGATATAGAAGTGTTAAATTGTTTTTTTGTCTACCATATTAGAAAACTTAAAAATTTTTTTGCTATTACTTTGATCTAGTGCTAGATTATGTATGTATGTATGTATTAGGTAGTGAATGTACTATGTATGTATATATGTAATCTATTGGTTGATTTTTTGTCGATCATTTGTCAATCACTGTGATGTTGTGGCTGAAAAACAATTTAGTAAAATTGGTCAGAAAAATGTTGAGATCACGTAATTGACTGCCAATTAAAATTCTCGATCAGGTATAATATGAAATCAAAACAATTAAAACAATTAAATTAGGATAGCTGTATGACTAGGGTTGTAAATTTACATCAAATTTTAATTTTTTTATGTAAAGTAAGTTAAAGCCATATAACTTGCATGTAAGTTTGTAAATTAAATCATATATAATATAAGATAATATATACTATATAAGATATATATTATTTCATTAACAATTACTTCACTGACAATTTAGTTACTTACATGTTTATTTTATTGAGAGTTATTTTACCAACAACTCATTTTATTGATAATTATTTTTTATAAAATATACTAACCTTAACTCTAACTTAATTTTTATAAAATAACTAGAATTACTTTATCAATGAAATAAACTGTTAGTAAAATAACTATTAATAAAATAGACTTGTTAGTAAAATAAACTTGTTAGTAAAATAAACTTGTTAATAAATTAATTATTAATGAATTAAGCTGTTAGTAAAATAATTTTTGGTAAAATGCATACTATCCTACTAGAGATAATATTAGTATAAATAATCTGATTAGTTAATTTATTATATTATATATAATAACTTACCTTACATCAAAAAATTTTGAATGTAATTTATATGTAACTTACATGTAAGATAAGTATATAAGTTACAATCTTCCAACTCTATGCACGATGTGTAATATCGCACAGGACCAGTACGATCATGTATAACATGTAAATTTGGACTATTCAAAAGTTATTGATAAAGGATTTTAAACAAACAAAACTTAGAAATATAACATAATTATAGTAAATGCTATATGCCCAAATATTATCTTTTAGATAATGGCACAGCACAAATTCTTTAAAGTTTGTTTATTTTAGAGTTAGGATTAGTGTTATGGGCTAGAGAAGAGTAGTTTGTATAGTAAAATGTCCTAACAAAAACCTTTTTGTTAGAATGCCAAAAGTGATTTTTTATGTAAAATTATGAGAAGTAAGTGTAACGAACATTTGTTTTAAATTTTCTTGATAGTGTTATGTTGCAACTGATTTTGAAATCTAATTCGTAGTTCAGAAAATCTGTGCACATATTCAAGGAGTGCAAATCAGATGTAACTGATAAATTCAAAACAAATGGCACGTTTCGTCAAAAATCACTTTTTTTTCAAAGAATTGCATATATAACTACTTGACATACACTAATTAAAAATTTCTCTTGAGCAATTTTACTATGTACTTTTCTAATCTCTAATATTAATTAAGGATGAAAAATGTTTTTTATTATGTAATTAAAAACAGATGATGATTATGTCCTTAATATATTTAAAAACAAATTTAACTATTTAGACTTTTAATCATCATCTGTTTTAAATTAGTGAAAAAGTGTTTAAAACTGTTTTTTTCATCCTTAATATTAATAAGAGTCTTCACTCTAATACTAAAATAAACAAACTTTAAAGAATTTTGATTACACTACAAATCTAGCACATATTCAAGTAATGCCTGATTTTAAAATCTGATTCGTAGCTTAGGTAATTGGCGCCGCAAACCTGGCAAATACAAAAAATGACGAAATTAATTATAACGATCAAATTAAATCATTATGACCTCGGTGCTTACCTTAAATGACCATTATCTCATATAATTATCATAATAATACTTAAATAAGAAACTGATAACTATAATACTTTATAAAATAAGAAAAAATATAGCACACCAAAAAGTTGAACGGAACCATCCCTCCATATTTCATATGATTGTACTGGTACAAAACAAATGATTAAAGGTAACAAAATACATTATTAGAGCTAGTGTTAAGGTTAGAGTAGGCAATATTTTAAATCAAAATTTTGCAAAGAATTTTTTTTGTTAGAATATAAAAGGCAATTTCATAGGCAAATTTTGAGTTATTGGTGATTTTTCAAAGAAGTATGTATGTACAATTTTTACATTACACCTAATCTTCAAATTTGATTAGATGTTTTCATATAATCTCAACATTTTTTTGATATGACTAGTTTATCTTTACCATGGTGATAACAGATATTCTTTTTGTTTAGAAAGTGGTAGGCCATATAAAGAGTCATATATACAACTAGTAATATAATTGGATGTTATATAAATTTTAAAAATAAGATCGTATTTTATACTAAAAATGGAATTAACTTAAGTAACCAACATTTAGAATTAAAAGTTATATTTTTTTAAAATGAATAGACAAAAATTTAATAATTATAACATATTGTAAGGAATTGTGTGCCATCTACATAGCAATTTCAAAGGAATTCTATATCCTTGTATTGGTTTTAGATCACAAGGTAGGTCAGTAAAAGTGAACTTAGGCAACGAAAAATTTAAATATTCTGGTAAATTTATTTAAAGAGTTTAATGTATATAGTTTATATAGAATTTATATATTTATATATATATTTCAATTAATAGCAATGACTAATGAAGATGTTAGTGTATTCAATTACCAGCACTTATTAATAAAGATATTAGTGAATGCTAATTGCATCCCTTAACAATACTGCTAAAAAGTTTCAAAAAAGCAGAAAAGAAAAATAAAACCATTAGTAAAAGATCAAATAATGCATTAGCATTGAAATATTAAAATATGCTTGTTAATTTAATTGATAAATTAACAAAATTACTAAAAAGGGAGCGAAGTAATGTATCTGAATTAAGCTACTGAGGAAAAATATTTTTTATTGTGGGCAAATATGATAAAGCATTTGAAGATTTAACTAGATTGCTAGAAATTGAACCAGATAATATAATAGCATTAAAGTATCAAGAAGAAATTAATTATTTAATGAAAAGGTATAATAAATCAATTGCTGCCTTTAAGAATTAAACTAAATGATATATGGACAAAGAAGGCTCATGAATTAGTTACAGGGTTGTAAGTATGATACTTTGCAGAAATCTTAATTTTTTGCAATAGTATTTATGTACTATACATTTAGCAAATTTTAACGATATAGCAGAATAATATAAGAATGACAAAAAAATTTTTCTATTAAATGTCAAATACAGTTTTTAACTAGTCTTTTACTAGATGACTACAAATAATTATAATAAGCTTTTAACAATTTTATGTTTAGCCAAAAAATTTCTACAGATTGCTTGATCTATTACAGACTTTTGAAATGCTATTATAAGGACCATTATTGTTTTAAAAAAAATTAAGGTTATTTTAGTAAAATAAAATGCATTAGGCTATACAAATAAAATTTTGAAATAATATAATCTGCCTGATTGGTTTAAAACTATATTTATTAGAAAATTAGGTTTATTTTGTTATTTTATGATTTATAAAAGTATTTTCTGAACTTGAGAATGTGCAATATTTGATAATAGTAATATGTACAGTATTTTCTGTACAAAAAGATTCTATAGATCACAAATCAATAAAAAATTTTTAGTTCAAGATTACTAAATTAAAACTACAGTATTAGAAATAATATTTTTAACAGCGGAATTTATACAATAAAAACTTAAGCTATTTAAATTGTTAAATATATAGATGAATTTATTGTAATATATAAATAATAGCTATTGTTGAATAATTAATTTATAAATGCATGCACCCTATTTACTAATCGAATAATAAGCTGCTATATCAGATAGCGTTTATAATAAAAAGAGTTACTATTTATTTTTTATTACTACCTGCACAGTTTTGCTAATATCTAAATAAAGTAATAGAATATTATTCATTATCTGAAGACTCTTTGTCCATATAACTAAGATCCAATTCATTTACACAGCCTCATCGACTTGCTGATGGAATAGTTAGATGAAGAGTAAGTTAATCAAGCTTCTTAATTTTTGCCAATACATCTTCACTATAAGATGGTTTTTCTTGGTTACGAATTGCAATTAGATATTTGACATAGATTTTCAAACTTTTAGAGATAAAGTTTTCAAGAGACTTGAGCGAAGATTGAGATTTTTTAAATTCGGAGAAGTCACTAGCATCAAAGTACTTAATAAGTTTTTGCTTCCAGACTTTGCTAGCAACAAATTGCTTAATATTTTCATCAGTCAGATCACTAAAAAAAAAGAATAATGATAATTATATATATTAAATATAAATATTAATCCACAGTATTAATTAATTATATCAACACGATGTGTATTATTTAATGTGGAATACCAATTCTTAACAAGCAAGTTCATGGCAAGAGCCATTATATCCTTATTAAATGTATGCCAAAAATTATCAAAGTATTCACGTGTTTTTTCAGCATAATGTTTTAAATTCCTTGGACATTAGATCTATTGATAGAACAATCTTCTTGATTAATGTTTTATATATTTTCTTAGCAGATTTCGTGTACATAAAACAGAAGTTTGCATTGCTTCATTACTAGATTAATTATGGTTTCTTTATCCGTTGGCTCTAAATTATTAACTTCAGTCTAATAATATTGCATAGTTTTAGAAAATTAATATATTATATTTAGAAAATTACTTAATTTATACCAGGTGTATATATATACATACTAATTTATTGATTTACAAATATGTTAATATATAAATTGTAAACAAGGTTGTGGCGACTTAGTAAAGTTGGCAAGTTGTCGCACCCCAAGCAGCAGGACTAGAGTTCGAATCTCACCGGCGACGAAAATTCGAATTATAGAAAATGCATTTGGAAGACTGTATCCTATTGGGTTGTAGAACCTGTAATGGTGGTCGTACCAGCTTGTA